AGATTAATCCGTTTCTTTTCAAGAGTTTCATTTATGAACATTGGTATTTTGGACAGTTAAACGCAATCAAAAAAATCTCAATGATTCAATAATTTCATATGCAATACTGTAATGTATTGACATGATGGTTACTGCTGAATAGATTGTATGAATATTTGCAGGTGAAGATAACAAAAGACGAAATTATTTTCCCATTGGTGTTACCAGCTGCACATATTTACTTCAATGCTAGTCACTAATGCCATGAAATAAATCAAATGTACCGAAATGTGTACCAATATCTAGTTAATTGATAAAGAGTGTTAATTTTGTTTAAATACTTTTTAATTCTTGAAATCTGTTAAACGTGAAAATACAATATTCAAATGAATGCTTATTAAGATTCAAGAGGAAGTTGTTCATTAATATACCAAGATGGAATGAGATTATCATCTAGATCCATCGTCATGTATCCAGTCAACCTTTTATCCTTGCCGTTGAAATGAAAGTTATAACATTTGTTTTCCTCTGTAACAACAGACTTCAAATGATTGAGAATCAAATCTAATGAAGTAACAAATATCATTTGTCTGTGTTTATGGATTAGCCTTTCAACTTGCAACTTATCGATATTTTCAACCGTAAAATCTTGTTCGCATTTAGTACGCATAACTGTATCAACTCCAGCAAGTTTAGCCAATGACCACCAAGTGTTGGCATGAAGAGATGTATGTGATACTCTCGGAGCATTGTACTTTTTTACCAAAACAAACTTCATATCATCGAAAGATTTACTCGTTTCCTGTTCACTTTCAACACAGTCCAAATATCCTGAATGTAAAATTCGATGGGAACCAATCTTCGTGTTGAAAACACCGAAAAATGAAGCTTCATCTCTGGCAGAAGTACACTGATTGTTGTTCTTGGTAACCAAACTTTTCAAATTGAGACCTACATAAGTCGATTTGTTGTCCTTTTCTGTTTGTACATCAATGTTTTCTTTTTTACCAATCGATTCGATCGTACTTAATACGATTTTTCCTCTGATTTTGACAGCACAAAGGTTCCATTCGTAATCATAATATGGAGAAACCATGAGATCTTTCAATAAACCATTGCTACAGATGAAATCGTAAGTAAAGTTGCTCAAAATTGTTTCATTTTCAAGAATCCATCGCAATAAGTTTGAACTTTTTGGCCTTCTATGGCCATACTTTATGTTTGAATCATATCCTTGGAGGCAGTTGATATTGACTGGATCAGGTAAGTCCAAGTACCGAAGAGCTGATTTATCTGGACAGTAAACACTTTTATTTTCATTATCGTAATATGACGAGAAATATCCAAGTCTTTTTGGTTCCTCCAAACAAATGTTATGGTTCGTTGTAACCCTTCCGAGGTTCAACTCTTGCAAAGAAAGAGTAACTTGATTCAATGGAATCATTTCTAAATATTTATATTTTCAGTTTATAAGTTGAATTACAATTAGAAAGCGTTTTGATCTAACAACAAGTAACGAAGTAACATAAGTTTTCAACTAAACACCTTTATTAGAGAGTCTGTTAGCTAAACCAGCAAATCACTTAATCACTTAAACAGGTGAACTCTAACGCCTATCGAATGATCGAATGATCTTAACATTCAAGAGTGAAAACATAATTGATTGATGTTGTATTTTGGTAGTTAGACATTTGTTTGTGTGTGAACATTCAATCTCATATGGACTCATTTGTTGAATGATGATCGAGGGCATGTTGCTGAGTCAATGGTTGTGGCATCGATTGATTTTCAAAAAAGCACTCTTATATTTCCACTTTCAACATTTGTTAAAGACAACATTTAAATGTTAAAATTTTGATTATTCTAAATTGGATTAGTAGATAGAAATGCAAATTTAAAATAAACGATGATAAAAATATGTTAAGATGAGTTATCCATTAATGTTCGATGATGGACTCCGATACTAGATCCATCTTCACGTAGCCAGTCGACTTTTTATCCTTGCCATTGAAATAAAAGTTATAGCATTTGTTTTCCTCTGTAACAATTGACTTGACATGATCGAGAATTGAAGTCAATGAAGCCACAAAAATCGATTGTCTGTGTTTATTGATTAGCCAGTCGACTTTAAACCTATCGATATTTTTAACCGTGAAATCTTGTTCGCATTTAGCACGAAAAACCGTATCGATTCTAGCAAGGGTAGCTAATGCCCACCAATTGTTAGCATAAAGAAATGAGTGGGAAATGTTTGGAGCATTGAATTTTTTGATCAAAACAAATCTCATTTCCTAGAAGGGTTTATTCAATTCTCGTTTACTTTCGACACAGTCCAAATATGAAATGTGAAATTTGATGAGACCCAATCTTTGAGTTGAAAACTCTGAAATCTAATGTATATTCCTGATAAAGCGATAAAAGGATATTTTTATTCACTTCGGTTTGATGAGTCGATTTGGGTGCTTAGGAAGACAACCAGTTTTGCCGGTTAATTCAATATTATGAGAAACCGATTAACAAAGTTAATCAACAATAGCTCTTTATTAACAAGTACAAGATGCAATACAAAATGTATTCATTCAAGAAGTATTTTCACCAACTTAAGGTGAAATGTAATTATGCAATGGATGGATATTAAGATTTTTTAGAAAGTTGAACATCAGTATACCATGAAGGAATCAGGTTTTCATCTGACCCTATCTTCATGTATCCAGTCAACTTTTTATCCTTTGCATTGAAACTAAAGTTATAACATTTATTTTCTTCTGTAACAATTGTTTTGATGAAATCCAAAACCTTGTTCAATGAAGCAACGCACGTCATTTGAAATCTTTTGTTAATTAAACATTCAACTTTCAACTTATCAATTTTTTCAACAGTAAAATCTTGATCACATTTAGCACGAACAACTGTATCGACTCCAGCAAGTTTAGCCAATGACCACCATGTGTTACTTTGCCAAAGCGAATGCGACTCTTTTGGAGCATTGAACTTTTTTATCAGAATAAACTTCATCTCCTCGAATGGTTTATCCAGTTCTTGTTCACTTTCAACACAATGAAGCCATCCAGCATGAAGTAACCGATGAGACCCAATCTTGGAGTGAAAAACACCATAAAGTGAGTCATTTTCTTTACCAGAACTACATTCAGAACAATTGTTGTTCTTGGTAATCAAACGTTGCAAATTGAAAGCTGCATAGGTGGATTGGTTATCTTTTTCAGACTGTGTAGCAATTCTTTCTTTTTTCTCAAAAGATTCGGCCTTATTGAGAACAATTTTCCCTCTGATTTTGATCCCAGAAAGGTTCCAGTCACAACCAGCGTACTTAACGACCATCATGTCTTTCATTATTCCATTGTTGCATATGAAATCGCAAGTAAACTTTTGTATGGTTGCTTCATTGTCCAAGACCCATCGCAATAAGAGCATATCTCTAGACACAACATGACCATACTTTTTATTAGGGTCATACCCTTGTAGACAGTTGATATTGACTGGATCAGGTAAGTCCAAGTAGCGTAGAGCTGATATGTCTTGACTGAAAACGCTATCATTATTATTATCATAGCATGAAAAATATCCAAGTTTTTTGGGTCCTTCCAGTGAAACATTATCGTCCTCATCTCGTCTTAATTGGTTCAGATCTATGAACGAATGAATGACGATATTTCTTATCGTCTGAATGTTGCATGTCGGCATGTTGCTAAATCAATAATTTCGGTGTCGATTTAAATTTATTTTCAAATGCAAGCAAAATCACACGATATAATACTTATTGTAATAGAGGCAAATCACTTAATAAAATGAATTTATGTTGGATGAACAAATTTTATGGTCGTTGTTACAGTTAGAGAGAAGCGATATTGAATCGATGATATCGATATTACCAAAAATATCATCGATAAACTGTAAAAATATCGATAATTTAACATCTATTTTTCATTGCAACCTTTGCTCAATTAGGAAGCTCTTTTCAAATCAAACGGTATTTCTTAGCGATATTCGAGATGGCATTATATTTCAATTTTTTCATTACTAATTGCGGTTAGGGATGCGATAATGAGGCTCTTGAGATAGCTAATTACATTATTTGCAGGACAGCGTCATGTTATGGGTTGGTGTCATTAAAAGGTCACAAGATTGAGAATGACTCGCAGCTAGTTAACACTTTGTTGACAGGGATTAGTAAACAATAATTTTGTCATCTGATTCGGCATACAGTGGCATCTAATGAAGTAGGTACCAGTTATTGTGTCTCTCGCGTCTTAAACAAATAAAAGAAGAGAGAAGTTCATCAATGAAGCGCATTTAATAAGAAAATAAAAAAAGCGAGAGAATCAAAGATGAGTCATGTAAAAGGAGCCACATAGCAATCTAGTCCAAAGAGTTCTTTGATCTTGAAACTAGTTAATTTACTGTTATAGCAATTCAAAGTTTCATCGTCCTTTGTTCATGCAATGTATAAATGCAGTGTTGCTATCATTTGGTCCTTTCAATTCCTTCAAAAGAAATATCAACATCTTAAGAAACAATTGATGAAGTACAAATCCGCATTGACGATAGTAATTTTCGTTTGATTGATTCATCTAGATTATGATTCGTCTTGGCAATATAAAGTACTCGCCATATTTTAATGAAAAACATCTCGAGATCAATCTGTTTCTTTTCAAGAGATGCATTTATAAACATTTGTATTTTGGACAATCAAACACAATCAAAAAATCTCAATAATTTCATATGCCATACTGTATGTTTATATTGGCATTACTGTTTTTCCTGAATTAACTGTATAATTTGCAGGTGAAGATCACAAAAGACAAAACCGTTCTCCCCATCGGTGTTACCAGCTGCACAAATTTACTTCAATGCAAGTTACTAATGTCATGAAATCAAACATTGTACCAAAACATGCAATATCTAGTTAATTGATGAAAAGTTTTTATTTTGTTTGAATACTTTTTAATTCTTAAAATATGTTAAGAGTGAAAATACAATGTTTAACAAAATGCTTCAAGAGATTAAGCTTCAAGAGGAAGTTGTTCATTAATATACCAAGATGGAATGAGATTATCATCTAGATCCATCGTCATGTATCCAGTCAACCTTTTATTCTTGCCGTTGAAATTAAAGTTATAACATTTGTTTTCCTCTGTAACAACAGACTTCAAATGACTGAGAATCAAATCTAATGAAGTAACAAATATCATTTGTCTGTGTTTATTGATTAGCCTTTCAACTTGCAACTTATCGATATTTTCAACCGTAAAATCTTGTTCGCATTTAGCACGAACAATTGTATCAACTCCAGCAAGTTTAGCCAATGACCACCAAGTGTTGGCATGAAGAGATGTATGTGATACTCTCGGAGCATTGTACTTTTTGACCAAAACAAACTTCATATCATCGAAAGATTTACTCATTTCCTGTTCACTTTCAACACAGTCCAAATAACCTGAATGCAAAATTTGATGCAACCCAATCTTTGTGTGAGAAACACCGAAAAATGCATCCTCATCTCTGGCAGAAGTACAATGAGAATGATTGTTGTTCTTGGTTATCAAACTTTGTAAATTCAAAGCTACATAAGTCGATTTTTTGTTCTTTTCTGATTGAAATTCAACATTTTCTTTCTTCTCAATCGAATCGACTCTATTCAATATAATTTTCCCTTTGATTTTGGCAGCACAAAGGTTCCAATCGAAATCATAATATGAAGAAACCATCAGATCTTTTAATAAACCATTGCTACAGATGAAATCGTAAGTAAAGTTGCGCACAATTGTTTCATTTTCAAGAATCCATCGCAATAAGTTTGTACCTTTAGAGCCTTTATTACCATACTTTACGTTCGAATCATATCCTTGTAGACAGTTGATATTAACTGGATCAGGTAAGTCCAAGTACCGTAGAGCTGATTTATCTGGACAGTAAACACATTTATTTTCATTATCGTAATATGACGAGAAGTATCCAAGTCTTTTTGGTTCATCCAAACAAATGTTATGGTTCGTTGTGATCCTTCCTAGGTTCAACTCTTGCAAAGAAAGAGTAACTTGATTCAATTGAATCATTTCAAAATATTTATATTTTCAGTGTTAAGTTGAATTACAATTAGAAAGCGTTTTGATCTTAACAACAAGTAACGAAGTAACATAAGTTTTCAACTAAACATCTTTATTAGAGAGTCTGTTAGCTAAACCAGCAAATCACTTAATCACTTAAACAGGTGAACTCCAACGCCTATCGAATGATCGAATGATCTTAACTAAACATTCAGGAGTGAAAATATGATTGATTGATGTGGTATTTGTGTTCATATAAAACGTATAATTCAATTTATCATTTCTTAGTGAGCTTTATAAATAATCCTTATTATTGTAAGGGTAAGCTCTATCAACAATATCTCGAAGCTATGAGATAAAATAACTTCTCGATGCAATGGTTTAACTATCACTTAAAAATTTGTTTGTGTGGGAACATAAATCTCATATGGACTCAATGAGCACTTGTTAGAATGATTGAGGCCATGTTGCAAAGTCAATGAGTATTTTTGGTTCGTCCAAACAAATATTATGGTTTGCTCCGGCACATTTTAGGTCCAACTCTTTCTCCACAAAAGTACTTACACTTAAAGACAACATTTCAAAGTTAAAATTTTGATCATTTGAACTTAAAGCACTATATGAAGAGATTTAGAAATGCAAAGTTGAAATAAATGATGCTAAAGATATGTTAAGATGAGTTCTCTGTTAATATTCGATGATGGACTCCGATACTAGATCCATCTTCACGTAGCCAGTCGACTTTTTATCCTGGCCACTGAAATAAAAGTTGTAACATTTGTTTTCCTCTGTAACAATTGACTTGACATGATCAAGAACCATATTCAATGAAGCCACAAAAATCGATTGTCTGTGTTTATTGATTAGCCAGTCGACTTTAAACCTATCGATATTTTTAACCATAAAATCTTGTTCGCATTTAGCACGAACAATTGTATCAACTCCAGCAAGTTTAGCCAATGACCACCAAGTGTTGGCATGAAGAGATGTATGTGATACTTTCGGACCATTGTACTTCTTAACCAAAACAAACTTCATTTCCTCGAAAGGTTTATTCAATTCTTGTTCACTTTCAACACAGTCCAAATAACCTGAATGCAAAATTTGATGCAACCCAATCTTTGAGTGGAAAACACCAAAAAATGAACCGTTTTCTATCCCAGAAGGAAATTCAGAACGATTGATGTTCTTGGTAATCAAACGTTGTAAATTGAAAGCTGCATAAGTCGATTTGTTGTCTTTTTCTGATTGCGCATCAATTTTTTCTTTCTTCTCAATCGAAGCGACTCTATTTAAAACGATTTTCCCTCTGATTTTGACAGCAGAAAGGTTCCAATCGTGATTATAAGACGGATAAGTCATAATATCTTTCAATACACCATTATTACAGATGAAATCATAATCAAAGTTACGGACGATTGTTTCATTTTCCAGAATCCATTGCAATAAGTTTTTATTTTTCGACTGTTGATATCCATTCTTGGTATTTGGATCATATCCTTGAAGCAAGTCGATAGACACTGGATTAGGTAAGTCCAAGTACCGTAGAGATGATTTGTCTGGACAGTAAACATTTTCTTTTTCATTGTAATAGAACGAGTAATATCCAAGTCTTTTTGGTTCGTCCAAACAAATATTATGGTTTGTTTCGGCACATTTAAGGTCCAACTCTTTCTCCACAAAAGTACTTCCACTTGTAGACAACATTTTAAAGTTAAAGTTTTGATCCTTCACTTATAAATTTGAATGTATAATGTATTTAAGAAGACCTTTTATCTCGATTATCTATTCCACAGCGAATGGCTTTCAAAGAATTGATTCATTAATCACTATTAGTGAATCGTTGATCTCATAATATCAAGCTGAGTCGCCAATGTTTTTTGAAGGCTGGATGGACTGATAGCTGGTGAATCACAATCTAGTGGCTAACATAATTTGTATTTTCATTATCGTCACCAATCCTCTAGTCCAAGTTAGTTTTACATGGACTAAGTCGGCTAACAGCTAATTGATGATTAATTTTAACCAAATTAGCAAATGATTGTGAACTTGAAAAAATACTCTAACGTCTATCTTATGATCTCAACTAAACATTGGAGGTTGAAACATGCTTGTTGGATGCTAAATTTTTGTAAAAATGATTCAATTTATAATCCTCTTTCGCAGATCCGTCTATTTCTCTATCTTGAGTTAGAATGAAAGTCTATTCTTTTTAATTTTGGCAGAAAAGGATATTATAATTCACTTTTGGTTGATCCGATGATTTGGGTAAAGATTGAACCAGTTTTGTTGTGTTATTATTAATACTTAAAATTTTGAATAAACCGACTAAGAAACCGACAAACTTGTGTAGACTTGAAACTGAAAAATAACACAACAGTTAACAAAGTCAATTAACAATAAATTTTTGATAACAAAAAATTATTTATTCAAAAAATATCTCTATAAACTTACGGTACAATGAACTACAATGCAATGGATTAAGATTTGCTAACAAGTTTTACTTCGGTATACCAAGATGGAATCATGTTTACGTCTGGCTCTATCTTCATGTATCCAATGAGTTTTTTAACCTTACCATCAAAAGAAAAGTTATAACATTCATTTTCTTGAGTAACAATTGTTGTGATAAAATGAAGAACCTTGTTCAATGAAGAAACAAATGTAATTTGAAATTGTTCATTGATTAAACTATCGACTCCCAACTTAATGAAACTTACAAAATATTCAATTTTATCTTGAGTAATAATCTCTTATAATGAACTTTTAACTGACCAACTCTTGCAAATCAATTAAATTAATTGTTCGGTATGTTATATTATCAATAGATTTAATTTGGTTAACTCGATACTTCATTAGGACTGTGGGAAAAATTGTTTAAACTTTAATTTCTAAACAGATTAAATTAGCTGTAAGTGGCAATTAGATACTTGATTAAAGTCGTAAACAGTTTAAGGTTAGAGATGAGACACCTTTATCAGAAAACAAGGCAACTCAGCTCATTCAATCTTTGGTGAATTGTCTGATGATTTCATGGTTAGACCAATGACTGAATCATTTTGAACCAGAAAGTTGACCGTATTTGCTCAGGTTCGTCTCAAACCAGATTTATCAATAATAACTGTATATTAAACCGTCTGTTTAACGATAACTTGCAACTCATCGTTTGTAAACTCAATACTTGAGTACGAAGATCAACAATGAAATGAATAATAACACACAATAATAATATCACATAGTACGAAATTATGAAAATATTCAGTCGATTAATCAAAATTTAAATTTTTGTTGATTCTTTAACTTTTTGAATGAGAAAATACAAGATTCAAATAAATGATTATCAAGCTTCAACAGGAAGCTGTTCATCAATATACCAAGATGGAATGAGATTTTCATCAAGATCATTCATCAAGTATCCAGTCAACTTTTTAATCCTGCCATTCAAATGAAAGTTATAACATTTGTTTTCCTCTGTAACAGTTGACTTGACATGATCAAGAACCGTATTCAATGAATTAACAAAATCCATTTGTCTCGATTTATAGATTAGACTCTTTACGTCCAACTTGTCGATATTTTTACACATAAAATCTCGTTGGCATTTAGCGCGAACAATTTTATCAATTCCAGCAAGAGCAGCCAATGCCCACCATGTGTCAGCTTGAAAAGGAGAATGTGATACTCTCGGCCCATTGAACTTTTTGATTAACACAAACTTCATTTCGTCAATTGGTTTATCCAGATCTTCTTTAGTTTCAACACATCCTAAAAACCCAGAATGCAATATTTGATGAGATCCAATCTTTGAGTGAAAAACACCAAAAAAAGAGTCTTCCTCTCTTTTCACATCACCCTGCGACTGATCGATATTTTTGGCAATCAATAATTGTAAATTGTTTGCAACATACGTCGATTTGTTGCTCTGTTCGGTACGCGCATCAATCGAAGCTTTTTCCTCGTCTGAATGGATTCGATTGAGTATAATCTTTCCTCTGATTTTGGTAGCGGAAAAGGTCCAATCATCATTATTAAACTTGAAAGTCATGAACTCTTTCAATAGACCATTGTTACAGATGAAATCGTAAGATAAGTCGCTCAAAATTGTTTCATTCTCCAATATCCATCTCAATAGATTTGAACCTTTTGGATTTTTATTTCCAAACTTTATGTTTGAATCATATCCTTTGAGGCAGTTGATGTAGACTGGATTAGGTAAGTCCAAGTACCGAAGAGATGATTTGTCTGGACAATAAACAATTTCTTTTTCATCATTGTAATAGAACGAGTAATAACCAAGTTTTTTTGGTCCTTCCAGTGAAACAGTTTCGTCCTTTTCTCGACACAACTGACTCAAATATACCTCATTGACAACGCTAGCACATTTTGCTTGAAACGTCGACGACATGTTGAATCAATAATAAATCAATCAAAGGTTGCGGTATCGTCTCAAGTTGACTTAAAAGCGTACGTATCACACAAATAGGACTTAATGTTTTAAAGACAAAAAACTTTTTCAAAATGAATCTTTAACACCCGAAGACAAAACTTTTATACCTGTTACAGAAGCTCTCTTCATCTCACTTTCATTGTTATTCGTTATAATATCCCAATTCATTTTTACAGAGTAATCGTAAAGTTTCTGGTGTGAGGGACTTCCCCCTTCTACGCGCAGAGACACTGTTTGGTTTTATTCAGTGCCACTCTTTAATACGGGTGATGCTCCACCCCACAAACCAGAATTGGCGACCACATAGCTCTTTAGCGATACATGTAACTTTCCGTTTTACATAATTTGTAATTTAAGACATAAAATCAGATCAATTTGTAATATCAATTTAAATGTAAGGTTTGTAATAGTGAATATGAGGTGAGAGTTGCTTTAAGAGAATCTGTGTCGATATTGTTTTGTTTCCGTATCAAATATGATCGATAAGAGTAATCGAACGAATAATCTAGGGCGTTTATTGTTATTTTGAAATGATGTTCAGTAAAAATTCCAACCGTTTTCTAGTGTCAAATATTAACCTACTCTCGACTAAACACAAGTAAATTGTTACAGTTGGTTGTGTTTGCTAAGTCTCAACATGTCATCTTCATTGCTGAATGAAAGACACAAAATGCTGTTTATATTATCAACTGTAGTCATCTTACTTTCAACTATTAAAACAGGTAAGAAAAAGTTGTTCATTTATTGACTAAAATATAAACTCAATCAATTTCCATTCAACTCCTCACAAACACAGCAAGTGCTAGAGCCTTGGTGGATTTACCGTTAAGCATAAGTAGCAAAAGCGTTAACATTCACGCTACTTTAACCGATGCCGTAAGTTGAACAACTAACCAATTGTGACTATTTTAACTCTTAATGCTTTTCGTCTTAGAGTGTAGCCAATAAATATTTCATTCAAGAATCCATATCAGCTTCTGGTACAGAGATCAAAGGCAAAATTGTGATCTCAGGTGAAAAGGATTCCTACAACATCTTTTATAATACTGCTTCTAGTTTAAACCAGGAACGGTTGGTTATTCACGGTAAGAGTTTTACAATAACAATTGATGAAATGAAAAAACATAAACAATTTCTTGTAATATGATTCGATTCGTAAGAAATTCTTTGTTGTCTACAATTTTTCAAGAAACATTCATCGATGGAATTCGCTATCAAAATAATCTTATAACAATTCTTAATTATTTCATGATCTAAAGGTACAAATTGTTTAACATTCGCCTACAAGAATAATTGGGATCAAACTCTACCTGGAATCAAGAACCTACCTGTAACTAATCTGGTACTTTTAATGGGACCTTCAATTTTATATCGACTTGGTCATTCCTCACTTGTTTGGGTAAGTATTTCAACAACATTGTGAGAATTTTTAATCAAATTCATTTGTTGAACAACAGAAATCAGTTGCAGATAAAAGCATAAGAGGAACCATGATGAAGGGTGCAACAACTGAAATAAACGGAAGATTGAAAATCACTTATTATTACAAAAGTGAGTAGGAATCGATTAGATTTGTTGAGTGATTAGATGAACAAAAGTTTAATCAAGTTTAACTGTTCTCATCCTTTTCATTTTCAAAAACTAGACCATTATGCAAGCGATTCTGGAATTAAAAATCCAAGTCGAATTGAATTCAGTGGTTATGATCCATCGTCAACTTCATACAGTGTCAGGGAGAATCTAATTCTTGATATTTACCTTCAAAATGAGAACTATTATGATGAACTCGCAAATGAAGTTAATGTAAGTATTTCACTTTGCTTTTATTTTCATTATTAAACAATACTCGTAAGAGACTCAAGATTTAACATTTCCACATTTTTGACTCTTAACCTTAGCCTTTACCCGGAATCGGATGCCCACATTACTTAGCCACAAGCGAGATTTCATTCCCTAGATTGAGAACTGATTATGTACATTACATTATGTACGAGTATATTCAAGGTTCAACCACTTCTCGAACATTCAGTGAGGTTAGTTTATTTGGTCAAGTATTTCCATTTTACATTCATTTTCATTTTATTTTCAGATTCATGCATCAGAAAAGCACAAATTATTACGATTGAAAGCAACTCTTCTTGGTGTAACAACTGAAGCTATTTATGATTATAACCTCGGAGTTTCTTACCTCTTTGAAGAGGGTGGAGGGTGTAGAGTATTATCTGCAGATTTAAATTCACCTGGAGTCAATTCTAATGGTTATTTCAACTTGCAAAGCCTTTTAATCGTTGATGACGTTGTTTCTCCTTTTCATTATCTTGGAAAACTCAATTTAGTAAGTGATTAACAAAAATATGACACAGTTTGTAACTTAATTCATTAATTTTACTGATAATCTATTGATTTTAGCAGGAGGTTTTAGATTGAATATCAATTGGAATTTTATTTTTATTTCCCAATTTCGATATCTAAAAATATGAAAAACTTTGAATTCAGTTGAAAAGTGATAAGGAAATTTTTTCTCATTTTCAGTGATTTTTAATCGCTCTCTAGTTTCGTCTATTTACAAGGCAATCTCTTGTTTTTTAGACGCTATTTTAAGAGTTTTTTAATATTTTTTCACTGTTCTGTATTTTTTCAGCAAATAAGTGCGTTTAAGCTTTAATTATAGATTTTCTAAATTTTATTGAATTCTATCTTGAAATTTATAACATTGACGCATATAGAAATTTTTTTGTCTGTTAGAAATAGTTCTTATAATAAATAGGCCGGTGCTATAGATGCACACGAATTGTTTCCTTGGTAAAGTTACATTTAAAGAGAAAACTGTTACCAGAAAAATTTTGTAGGACAAGATTAGATGTAAAATTTACAACAGTTCTTGAATATTTTTATGAAATTTTCCTACCGATTTTAGGAACACCGATCTGGATTTTCTGTAGATGCATGGGAATCAATCAGATATGATGTTAACATCAACGGGAAAAAGGCCGACAAAGCTGTCATTACTCAATATTTTGCTAAATCGGTAAGTTTTAATTACTTTAAACTATACTAACAAATAGTGCTATAACAAATAAAATTAATGAAAATAATAAGATAAAACAACTGTAAATGTAGTGAAAATAGTGAAAATAAGTTTATCATAAGATAACTCAAACATATGATTTTTTCTTGTGTAACTTAATTTTTTATTTCTCATTCAATTTGTGCTAAAATATTCAATCAAAATGGCTTTTAGCGAAATAGTCAAATATTTCCTGGCTATACTCTTGTCAGTACCACAATTGCCATCTATAAATTGGATTCATTGGTAAGTATTCATTTAAATGGTTATGATTCAAATAAGATTAATGTTTTTTGTTTTTTGTCTTTTGCTAGAAAAAAACTTACACTTTGACGGATGGAATTACAAGAGATTTCATGAACTTTGAAAAGGCTGGATCTGAAGATGAACTTCATGACATTTTTACATTAAAAGAGTGTAAATACTTAGTTAGCGATAAAACAAAAACCCTTGACTTCAAATTTGAATGCCAAGGTATGTATTGATAACAATGAAGCTGCCAGCTTGGTATGGCAATATGGTTGACGGCAATTACATATTTCAATTATACAGTGATTTGCGATTGAAAAGACCAAGCATTCACAATGAAGGGGCAATTTTTACAAAGAAAAGGCTTGACACCAAATTGAATTTTTAAGTTTTATTGCTTTTGACCAAATAGTGGTTCCCTGTAAACTCTTTAGGATTGAAAATTAACTTGGTCTCTTTATTTTTTAGCGGGGTTTCGCACTGTCTAAAATTGTCTTAATTGTCAAAAGTTACTTAGCTGAAAAATGCTGTCTTTCATTGTGAATTATTTTCAACCAAAAATCACTGTAATTCAGTGAAATTTTTAGTCATTGTGCATGAAATGATCACAGATTGGATAATATCATTCTGCTTATTCACTGTAGATTCATGATTTTTTAAATAATTGTGTACATGACTTATTTATTAACAATGGAAGGCTATGTAATTGCTCTTGAGTATTTTAACTGATATTTTTTCCTTCATTTGTAGGTGACTCTTGTACCGAACTCATGGAAAGTCGTGCTTACGAATTGAAACGAGAGCTCATTGATTATGTTATTTTAAACAAAAATATCAGTCCACTTCGAATCGATAATGTCCAATATAATATCAATGAGGCACAACTTGATATGGAAGTGACTTTCCTGGATTCACCTAATTTGCAATGTAATAACAATTTGACATTTTACATTCATGCAATTTAATTCGATTTTTGAAATTTTTTTTCTTTTCCAGATGTTTTCAATTCTAAAACTATGTCCGTCAGTGCAGATACATTTAAAATGATGAAAAAAATCAAAGCAAACAGTGAATATGAATGTCTGGACGCTATGGCAAAATACCAAGATAATATCCTGTACATATCTCGGAACCTGCACATTTTCATTTGTATAATTCAAATATGATTCTAATAATTTTATTCTTCTTTTCCCAATTAGTGTTGTAATTTATAGACCATCAGATTTAACTTGCGGATATTTGACAAATTTTGACGACCTCAAGGAAGATAGTAAAGGCGGAGACCCATGCAGCGTCTATCACTTCCCTTTATATAATTTGCGTCGCATTGATCAAGAAATACCACTTGATCAAATTCAAAATACTTTGATGGAAAATTTAGGATGGACTATCTCTTATTATGCTTGGGATTCTCGTAAGTAATTCCCATCCTGCGACTATGCTAAGCAGCCCACTCTGGTACTGCTGAAATATTTCCACGTTTGATTTTTATAAATTTTGAATGAAACAATCAAAAAATTGAAATTACATAACAGTATAAGCACTCAATTCGTGAAAAGTAATCTGATTATGAAAGAGGAGCGCAACCGCTTACCAAACAATATCAAAATTTCACGCGTTAGCGAAATCAAATTGACACCTTTCCTCAATTAAATGGTACTATTTTTCAATTTTGGTTAGGTGGTTAGAAAATGGAAATATTTCCCTTTTATTTCACATGAACGTACAGACTCTGAATATAATGAAACCTTTCTTTTTGTAACTTTTTCTTTGAAGAGCAAATTTATAAAATCATTGATATCATCGACAAAACGGAAAATAAAATTACTCCAGCTGATGTCTTTCAAACCACCATTAGAGTTGATGCAAAGTTGGACAGCAAAGATCAAGTTACAGTGACTGCTCCAGGTGCAAAAACTTTCGCTGATTGTTATCGAACCTGTCATAATTCAGAGCAACTTAAATGCAATACTTTCTCATTCTGTTCAAATGGTGACTGTAGAGTCAGTAGCTTATTAACTGTAGACTTGTATAATGACTCACATGTTGAGCTAGACAAGTCATGTTCTGTTCACGCTGTGAATGTTGTCAATCAATACTCGGAAGTACCTCATAGGAAATTTAAAACCCAGACTTCGATCGCAGTCGAAAAAGATCCTTATTCTTGTGCCGAATCTTGTCATGCTTCACCTGATTGTTTCTCCTTCCAATGGTGTGATTTTCAGTGTAGTTTTGGTGGTTTTTATACAGATGCAGCTACTGAATATGACGGAGAATGTAGTGTATATCATCGTAAGTACTCTTGAAAATGAGTAACAAGTTTTTGTTTTGTCTAATTGTTTTCTTATTCTTTAATTAACTTAGCCAAAGTATCTGAGAAATACCAAAAAACGGGAAACAAAATCGTTTCAGATGTGATTTACACTGAAATGAACTTGAATTTTGAACAATGTGCATCATTATGTCATGGATGGTCTGATGGTGAAACTGGATGTAAATCATTTAATTATTGTCCTAAAAGTAGAACAGAAAGTTCTTGTTCATTAACCAAATTTTCAGTTAAAAGTGCAAATACTAAAACTTCTGAAGGTGGCGATTGCTCAAATTACGAATTGAAAGTGGAATCAAATGGAAAGAAAAGCAAAGAATCCAGTTCGACTGAAGTAACGAAAGGAACAAGTGGATCAGGTGCTTTTGGAATAATTATGTTGTTCTTGTTTGTCGGGGCTTTATTGGGATTCGCTGGACCATTTGGTTACTCAAAAGTTAAACAAATGCGTAATGATTCAGAAGCCAACGAAAGTTTCACTTGGTCAAGACAAGTAAATGAACAAGCTGAGAATAGCAATTGAATCTCATTGTAAACCTTAGCACTACTTTCAGATTTGAAAAAATCTGTTTAACAAAATCACACAATTGCTTAATTCGTGCAACATTTAAACAATTTACTTTCTGAATAAACTGTTTTAAATGCATTGGATGTTTGTTACTTAATGTTACTTTTAAAATTATAATACTAATTATATTAAGTCAATCAATTTGAAGGGTCATTATGTTTTGTTTTATGGCGTAACTGATTGGCCTTTTTCGGATAGGCCGCTCCACAGCACCGAAAACTAAAAGAAATGAATTCGTCTGTTAAATGGGAAGGATTCTCCAGATTAAATGTTTAACAGTTCTCTCCGTTATAGTCCTTCGGGTAACCAATTGACAACAAGGGAAAGTTTTCCACGAGTTTCCATTTTTCAATGAAATAGATGATTTTAAAACACGGGAAAAAATTTCGATCAATTTCGAAGTATTTGTAATTAAAAGATATAACGTTAGATCGCGAGATAATCTGTTTAGTTCAACAGAAGATTGAAAAGATGGTGAAACGCTGTGCGAAAATAGCTGCTTACAAGGGAACACACCCAAGTATGAAATCGATATCGCGATTTTATTGGTCACTATCGGTTCATCAGACCTTAATAAAGACTAATATATCGAAATTAGCTGCCACCTTTTCGATTTCGGCATTAAATCGCCTTTTTCCTAAAAAATTTTGTATGCTTTTCTATGGGGATTTGTATTTGTTTTATAAAACGTATCTAATAAATGATCTGGTTGTGCAATACTGTTACATTTGCCTTGGAGCCTCAGAATGTCACCGCC